TCCAGAAAAAAAAAAGTACGTTTGTCCTTGTTTGTTGCATACAAACAGACAGAGATGAAATACGATTTGAGGCCTTAACTGATTGACATTTCTTACTGTGTTAATTATTCGACGTCATTGTTAATTTATTATATTTTTAACTATCAAGAGTCAAATTTGACGTTGACACATAATTAACATTTAATGTGTCAAAAGTATGTTTTTGATTGGTCGTTATTTGTTTATTATTTTGGACGTCAAATGTCATCTGTCACCCGCTGCAACTACTATTAATGTCAATTTTGAAATTAATCGTCTACTTATTTTTTGTTTCGATGTCGTTGCTTGAATTTGACACGTAATTTGATGACGTCATAGATTCCAGATGTGTCAAATGTCGTTCGATAACACAGTCAATTGATGACGACATTGGTTGGTTACAATTATTTGTTTGACAGAGACGAACCATGTGTCAGATGTCATTTATTCTATTACTTGAAGCGGGAAATTTATTGTCCGGTAGTATAGGCGAAATATACGAATGCGAAACGTCATTTGTCAATTGTCAACGTATACTACCATTTCCGATTGGTAGATATATTTTTTTTGCGCACCGAGTGTATTTCCATTTCTTTTTCTCATCCTGCTAAAAAGAAACAAGATTTTCTTTTGCACTAATTCTACCAATCAAAAACAATATGATATTGATTCATTTGTCAACCGTTTTATTTATGTCATTAGTTGACAAATGACAAATTCAACCGGTTGACAAACTTTACCAATAAATTACCGAACAGTGGCACATTAAGCATCACTTGTCCTGTCAACTGTCAAAAAAAATAGTTATTAATATTGTCAACGATGATTAAATCAAGTAGGCTTTGGATGGATGTCGGTATTACAGGTTGCGTACAAAATTTTATTCAAAACTTGCAAATTTTGATTATTCCCGGCTCTTGTTGTCACATGACGTACGACATTTCATTTTATTCGATTGGCCAGTGAACTCAAACAAGTGAGATAGCGATATTGTAGGCGGAATAATTAAACAAACGTCAATTGCCGGTGAGAGTTTTGGGACCAAAATCCTATTTAAAATGATGATATTTTCAAATCTTTCGAGATTATTTCTATCATGCCGCAACGTCGCTTGTTTAATTAAGCAGGCCTTTGAATAACATTGGGGTCGGTAATACAGAACTCTGTTATACTTTTGCACTGCTAAAAGGACTGACAATATTGGGTCGGTAATACAGGAGAAGTAATATTTTGAGGTAACGTACAACATTTTATCTATATCTAACCAATCGTCCATGTGGTCACCAATATTGAAAAGTAGGCGATTGATTTCCAGATTGATATTATAACTTTGACAGTTGCAGTAGATGACAAAATGACATTTGACATATCGTTCATCTGTCTAAATTATAACTAACGAATGACGTCAATTCGACTAAACGAATAAGTGACCATTTTGGTATGACGTCACGCTGGAGGGCAACCAATCATTTTGTTGTCAAATTTAAAGCCAAAAATGCCAAAATAATGTCATTATTTTTTTTGGTTATAAATTAATGTTTGCCCTCCAGAGCAAATTGTCATTAGTCATTTATATTAAAATAGGTCAAGAATAACAGACACTTTAAGGTGAATTCTAACGATATCGAGTGACATCTATCATTGAATGACATGTGACATAGTGACGCCAAAAGTGGCAATAATAAACAATAACTTTGACAGTTGACATCTGGTCATATGTCGTACTAATAAATGTGACAAGTGACATTGACGATTAAAAAACGAAATACTTTGCATTATTTCCTGTCATTTTACAAGTTGATTTAAATTATTTAGCGAATTCTATTGTGTGTCTTTTCTATCAGCTTGTATAAAATAGAGATAGAAATACATTTTTTTTTACATTAAAATAATTGATGTAATTATTGGCAACATTGCATTAGTTTGTAAATCACTTTTGACAGTTGTTTAATTGACAATTGACAAAAAAAAAAATCAATTTGGTGTTAAACAATCAAACTTATAATCGTTGTTTGATCAGTCTTGACAGCTGTCACTATTTTAACAAGTTTGTCAAATGTCGTTATATATCAAAGTCGAAATGCTGCGTTGCAAAACTGTTTTTTTCTCCATTTTCAATAGTCCATTTTCATTAAAATTGGAAAAGAATTGATGTACTTAATTATTGGCAGCATGGTATTTTCTATAAATACATATAAGGGTTTTTGTCTGGTAATACGCACGAATGTTTATAAAACCCTCACTCTTCGGGTTCGGAATTAAAAAGAAAACCCCAACCCCGGCCCGAAGGGCCGGAGTTATATGAGAGCCCGAAGGGCCGGAGTTATATGCGAGCCCGAAAAGCTGGAGTTATACGAACCCGTTTATTGTCAACTGATTTTAATACTTTGGCTCTTCGGATCGTAATCTTTGAAACAAAAAGACGCCATTTTATATCGACTGTCAAAAAAAACCAAGGCCTACTTTGATATTTCAATTTTTTGACGTTTGTTGTATCATGAGCAGCGTTGCCATATGTTTTTATCAAATTTCGATTTATAGGTTATCATTGACATTTCTGAAAAATATTTCCTTTAAAATTCCCAAATATTCTTTGCAATTCCCAAAAAATCTATGAAAATCTCAGAATTCCACAATTTAATGGAATTTCGGTAGAATAATTATGTTATTCTGAAAAAGGAATTAGATGTGAAATTTTCATAGAATTTACATTAAATTTTAATTCCTCTCGAATTACTTGAAATTTCAGTGAAATTCCGATCGAATTACACGAAATCCTAAATGAATTACATGGAGGAATTTTAAACAATTACATGAAATTACACTGAAATTCTCAATATGAAATTTCAGTTTTTACTGAATTTTAGTAATGCCGAGGAATTTCCAGCTAAAAACATGGACTTTTGGTGATATTTTGAAAAATTCCCACGTAATGACATGAAATTTCAATATATTTCGATGAATTTTTAAGAAATTACTTGAAATTTCATTAATATTCCCAGAAATTCCTGGCTATTAAAAGAGTATTTCAGTGAAATTCTTATGAAAATAAATTAAATTTTGAAAATTCCTTGAAGTTTCATTGGATTTTCGGGAAATTTTCGGTTATGAACGTGGATATTCTTATAAAATTTTAGTGAATTGCGAGATATTTTTAAGAAATTACATGAAATTCCAAAGAATTTTATGAAAATTTTGTGGAATTTCAGTGGTAAAATTTTGAGGAATTTTAGTAAAGTTAAAAAAACAAAATATGGAATTTTGAAATTGAAATCTTAATGGAATTCCTTTATGAAATCCTATACTGTAATTAGCCTCCTCACTTGAAATAGTCACGAGCCGCCACTGGTGGAAACAGCCAAACAATCGTATTTATTTTTTATGATTACAGTGGCAACGTTGCAAAAAAGCCCCCCGCCGTGAAAGCTCGATGGCCGCTGGCGCCGTACCAGGCTGTACTGGATCGATCCAGTCTGGTTGTTGTCGCTAAGGGAAAAAATGCATTCCTTATCTTTTTCACTTCGCAGTTTGATTTCTAGCAGTGTGGTTTTAGTAGTGTGGTTTCACTAGCAGTAAATAGTGCGTAAAAACGTCTAGCTCTATACAAGTTTGAACCTGCTCACTTTTCTCTAATTATTTAATTATTCTCTCTAGTTGCACCCTTGTGCAGTCTCTCTCTCTCGCTTTCTAAATAAAAAGACTTATTTTTTTATCTCTCTGGCTGCTGGCTTGAAAACTCAAGTGATATAATATCGCGTAAAACATTGAGTTAATCACACTCCCCTTTTTTAAGGGCTCTGTAAAAATATAAAAACTCTCAACTCCCAAAGATTTCTATTAAGAATAAATTTTATCTTGTGCTCTCAATTAAAATATTAGCGTTCCGCTAATACTAACAATTATTGTTAAATTGACTATTGAGCACTTAGCAACTAGTGAATTTATACCGATTAGTGAATGTTCTCGAATAACTCAAATGCGACTTGTTAACTAACCTGTGAATAATTAAAAGTACTTGAATGTGGTTACAGTATTTATTACTTTATTAAACGATTATTTTGGCAACAATAGAGAGATATAAAACTGGAAGTGTGAGTGCATTATTTAGCAGTGACGTCCCCATCCCCTTTATGATCCAGTGATCTATCCCTAAATTAAATGTTGACACCTCAGTTAGAGGCCCTAACACCAGTTCAGTTTCTGAGGCTAGTATATTTTTCAGTTTTTCAGTACATTTTTCGCCTCTTGATCAGTACTTTAATTTTCGAGGGTCTGGCAACGTTGGTCTTACCTAGTATCCATCATATTAAAAGAAGTATTTTGAAAGTTATCAACAAAAAACCGATTTTCAGAGGCGTTCTTTAGGGGCACGTAACTTCGTAGGGGGGGCCGTAGATTTTTTTTTTTTTATATAGGAAGTTGTCATGTTATTTTTTTGTGTTCTATCTGAATCCGAGAGATTGCTCACATATTCTGGGACACCCTGTATAGATCACTCAGATTATTTGTCATTGCAAACAGTGGTCGAGAATTCAAGCAGCCTTCGATCTCATACATTAAGACTTTGTGGGCTGTCTGGGTACATCCTTTAAATTAGTTTATCTTTAATGTTTTAAATTAGCTTTTAAAAAGTTGAACACCCTGTATATTATTGTTGATTAAATCGCAATTGCTATTGCTACCCATCATTAATAGTCATTATGAATTAATTCTGTGAAAGGTCAGTTTTAGATAATTTAATAAAAATTAATGAATACTATTTATTAATGCGTTTAAACAATTATTTTGTTTTGTGGGAATCACCTATTTGGGAAATTCTGACATATCATCAAAATTTACTCTTCATTAGTAATATCAAAATCGTAATTACCTAACAAATGCAGAAAGTCAAACTTTATCGCACGCATCAAAAATTTCTATAAAAGAAGGGATTTTTGATTATGAATATCAAAGTCTACTTTCTAGCACACTATCTAGTCTACTTTAAAACAAAGTGTACAATGAAGTGCTACTTTCCACTTATAAATAAGTGGGTAGAATGCCCTTTAAAGAGTTAACGATCAAAATTATGCCCAGACGCATTTCAAATAATACAAAGTCTCAAAATCATTCAAATTTTTATTTAAAAATTCTAAAATAATCTCGTCGCAAATGCAAATAAATCTCCACTTATATCATCATCAGGTACAAATTCGAATAAAAAAAAAAAAGTGGAAAGTTGCTATGATGATGTGAAAGTGTATAATCGTTGATTGGTTTCATGCTCATTTTAGTAACCTTGCATTGGATTTTTGTGCAAATTTAGTATCGAAAATGGCATCTGCGGCTTCGGACGTTAAAATTTTGAAAGAATGGTTGGTCAAACAGCAACACTTACCTCAAAAAATTGGTAATTAATTTGATAATTTTTTAATTATTTCTATAATTAATTTGTTTTTAGATGATATATTGCTCGAGAGGTTTTTACATTGTAGCAATAATAGTATAGAACAAAGCAAATATTTAATTGATTTATTTTATACAATAAGATCTCAAACTCCAGAAATTTTTACCGATAGAGATCCTGCTTCTCCAGAGATACGAGAAATATTTGAAAATATGTAAGCAGTTTCTTATAGTAAGTAATTTGATTGTATTAATAATAATTGTTTTATCAGTGACTTTATAACGTTACCAAAATTAACCAAAGAGAACAACAAAATATTCATTTACCATATAAAAACCCCTGATCCGGCAAAATATCACTTCATAAACGCTCTAAAGGCGTTTTTCATTTTTGCCGATGTCCGTATGCATATCGAACACGAAATACCAGACGGCGAAGTGCCTATATTTGATATGGACAATTTTACCCTTAAACATTTAACCAAAATTAATTTACAAGTGTTGAAAAAGTACATGGTTTACACACAAGTAAGAATTGGTTAGTAATTACAATTGAATTTTTTTGATTATTGTTCGTTTTTAGGAAGCTCATCCTATTAAACTGAAACAAATCCATTTGATAAATGTACCATCGTTTCTTGATAGATGCATGCAAATACTCAAACCTTTTATGAAAACTGAAGTAGGAAAAATGGTAATAAAATAACTTTTCACTATAGGTTTTACAAATTATGTTTTTTAAGGTTAATACTCACTTACCAAATTCTTCCACTCTTTTGGATTATGTACCAGAAGACGTCCTTCCAAACGAATACGGAGGTAAAGCTGGAAACGTAGCTAATATCAGAAAATACTGGCTGGATAAAATAATGGAACACCGAGACTACATCAATGATTCTTCTAGATGGACCGTGGATGAATCCAAAAGGCCTAGCGATAATAAGAATTCTGGAAAGAAAATGTTAGGAATGGAAGGAAGTTTCAGATCACTTGCAATAGATTAATTGAAATAGTAACAAAATTTTATTTATAAATTAAAAGATTTAAGCAAATAAAAACAACATATTATATTTAACTGCCATAAGACCAATCCTCATCAGACAAATTCCCTTGCTCAGTATTTCTAGCCAACATATAATTATCCATATCTATAGACCTGCAATTATTGATAGAATATCTTAATTTTTCTGCCATTATTTCCTGACTAGTATAAGGCGGTAAGCGCAGCTGGAAGAAACAAGTTTGCGCCGTTGGAAGACCATTCATTGCTTTGTCCACTTTCATAACTTGAAATCTTTGCGACAAATCGGCCAAATTTGCCGGCAATCTGGATCTACCAGATACAAAACGCATAAAGGATACTCTTTCGTTATCGGTGAAATTTTCTAGAATGTTCCAGAGCCATTTTACCAATTGACTTTCTTCGTCTAATTCTCTGTATCTTACGATTTTCTTTAGAACGGTTATGGAAATTACAGACATGCCACATACGAGTTGTTCCAAATAATCTGAAGTCATTAAGGATAGGAGGGGTACTGGTATAACTCCTGACATTCCTTCTTTTATTGCGGCAATCTGAAAATTAGGAATTTTAGTAAATGGTAATCAATAGGAGGAAGTTTAAAACACTTAAAATTTAATTCAGAATTTCTAAAAGGATTCTGTAACTCTTCAGAACATTTTGGGAATTTCAAAACTATGTTAGAATTTAGAATCGATTTTCTGTTACATTCCTTTCAGTTGCTACCGCTGGGAGGTCATTTAGTAAATTAAAAATATTGAAAAATTACTTGAGAAATTCCATAAGTCAGCATAGACTGCATAATCTTTCTACTTTGTCTATCAGATATAACACAACATTCAATATGGAATTCGGTATTTAGTTGCTTCAAAAAAATTATTCAATGGATGGAGGAGCCATAGATAATCAAAATTGGAACTATAATTGGCTCTGGATTCTTTGAAAAACCTTCCTATAACCAATCAAGAGCCGGTAATAGTCAAAGTTTGAACTTTTATCAACTCTGGATTCACTGGAGAATTTTTCAAAGGGCATTCAAAGCTCAAGAGCCAATAATAATCAAAATTTCAGCTCTTAAGTTGATATTAATCAAAAATTTTTCTTCTGAAAGACGTTGGATTTTGTAACATTTGACATCTTTGAGATGTCTAAGACACCTCAAATACGTCTAAGAGACGTTTTGAATGTCATTTATGGACATCTTAGGGACGTCTTTAATATAACTCTGTGCTGTCTGGGTAAATAGTACCCGAAAATTACTTACTTGTAAATCAAACTCTTGCAATCTATATTTTACAGCTTGTTCATAGTACTGGGCACGATTCTCAAAAGTCAATGCTATATTTTTGCCTCCGTGAACAATAGGAACTAACTGAAATAAAAATTGTCATAAAAAGAAAAATAAAAATCATTATTTACCTTTCCAGTACAACTTTGTCCCTCAAAAGTCTGCAAAGGTATAACGTCGTAAAAGTAATCGGCAGTCACGCCCGATTGTTCAATATCCCTAATACTCCTCAAAGTTTGCACGTACATAGCGTCAGTATCCTCCAAGTCTTCAACAGTTACAGGCTCGCCAGCTATAAGCTTCCAAATAATCGGAGCCAATGGAATAGCCAAAGGCTTTTTGGTTCTTATTGCAACCCCAAACAAAATCCCTACAAACTTAAACCAAGACAAATGCTGACTGGAAGTCAATTGAGGATTTATCAAGTATTTGTCCCGATTAAAACCATCCTCATTCAACGCATTTGGAGTGGGTACCAAAAGTGGTACAACATTGGTAGTAATTTCCTGGCACATTTCAGTTATAGTATCATCAAAAACACCACCTGCATCATCCGCACCTTCTCCAACCAATTTAACTTTCCAGGCACGCGAAGGCAATCGCAAATCTTGCGGATTAATATCAACCACTTGTTTAGCGATTTGGACAAATATTGGTTTGACTTTTCTACCTTCTTGCGCAATTCTCCTTACAACTATCGGTGGGCCATAGTTTTTGCCTTGCACCATCGTTTTGCCTACGCACCTGACAAATGGTAAAGTGTATACTCTTGGAGCTAGTAAAGGTCGTAATTTTGGAGATATTAAGCCTTCTAGGGGTGGCACGTTGAATTCGGCTTGTTGGGAGCTGAGAGGCATAAAGGTCCAACAAGAGTACAGTTTGTCAGAGAAATTGTAGAGGAATTTCAACCTGGAATTGAATAGTGTTTTGTGATTTTAGGTCTAGGAAGACACAATAATTGCCAATTATTCTAAAGGGAGTACCTGTAGACTAATTGGCTTTTTGAAGTGAAACTTCTTTTGAAATGTTGTCAATTGGAAGTTATATGAATCGAGAAAGTATAACGAAAGTTGAGACAATTTTTGTCAATTCCTGGTTCTTGAAACTTTCTCAGTTATATAATTCAAGAGCCTGGAATACAAAAAATATGTTTCATTTTTCCATTACATATTTTTTTAATTTACATTTTTCATCTATTCCCGGCTCTTGAATTTTAGTTTTCTTCAGATTCAAGTTTACTTCAGATTCAGATCAAATCTGATAAACTTACTGGTAACGGTCTAAGATTTAGCAATCTACACCTTTTCTAATTGTATTTCAGAAAGTGATAAATGTATTTCAGAATAGCCAAAAGTATTTTAGAAAGTGAAAATTCGGCGGAAATAATTCAGGAGAGAGGCGACACAAAAAATTACCTACCCATGTCTGTGCAGTTTTTCCTACGTTAGTCCGACTGACCCAACACAACCTGAATACATAGTAGCATTTAACTATGCTGAAATTCATTTAACGCTTTCTGAAATACATTTAACTATTCTGAAATACATTGTAACTATTCTGAAATACATTTGACGCTTTCTGAAATACGTTTAACTATTCTGAAATATATTTGACGCTTTCTGAAATACATTTGACACCTTCTGAAATACAATTGGAAAAGGTGTAGAATCCTATTAGTTAACAAATAACTAGCTAATTTAATAGGATTGTCAGATAGCATGGCTTGATAGTTTATCAGAAGATGAATATATTAGGCCTTACCTGGCTTGAATAGACTTGATAGAAACACCACAAAGATGATCATATTGCGGTGGTATCTCAGAGGGTAAGCCAAAAGTCAAAGTTTGAGTAACTCCAGGTTCCCTCTTAGGTAAAGGGGCAGCTGACCAGGCAGCACTGTGAGTCCGGCCTAAATTTTCAATTAAAATAAACAAAATAATTTTTTTTCGTACAATTATTACCTGTAGAAACTTGTTTGATCCCTTTGCTAGACAACTCGGTAATCATTTCCGGTTCTCTGACCAACGAAACATGTGAAAGTCCACATTGGCCTTCTGTGTTCATACCCCAACCAAAAACCTACATAAAAATCCACAAATAATACAATTGTGTATTGTTGAAAAACAATTAGGTACTCACTTTGCCACATTTAGTCAAAATCAAAGCATGTTCAGTTCCGATAGCAAAATCCTCAACAAAATACTCCTCCAAAGTACCAATCTGATGCGGCAAATACGAAGGCTTGTCTCTGATCAGAGTGTGCCAAGGCACCCTGTCAATACCACTGACAAACAATTTCCCATTTTTAGCCAGGAATATCGTTAAGTTGGTACCGCAACCAACTTTTTTGATTTCCAAACTGCCCAGCGATTCAACCTTTTGCGGAATCGATTTCGTTGTAGTGTGACCCAGGCCTAATTTGCCATAGTCACCTTCTCCGAAAGTCCAAACATCTAAGCCGTCTTGCGACACGCAAGCTGTATGATTGAGACCGCAAGCGACTTGACCGATTTTGTAACCTGTTGATAATGTTTTAAGAATTACATATTTACAATTTGTAATAGCAGATCCCTATTTCATATGTTGTCAGCAATAACGTTATTAGAAACACATTAACTAGCAGGGAATTAGGGAGTTAATAAATGGTTGCAGTATCAGGTTTGCTAGAAAATGCTTGTCAGGTTGATAGAGTTTATTACTGTGCTACTACTGTCAGTAATCCTTTATTAATTCCCCAATTTTCCGCTTGACTGTTTTTGACAACCTCAATGTTAACAACACATGAAATAGGGATCTATTACAAGTTGGAAAATGAAGATCTACTACAATTAGAAATTAATTATTAAAGTGCCCGTGAAACGGTGGAAGTGTGAGTATGAAAACCTGTTACCTTCCAAAGCAGTTACTCGTTCTGGTAGTTTTTTATTTGACGTGGAGCCCAAGCCTAAACGTCCATAATCGCCATTACCAAACGTGAAAAGTTTTCCGTCACTAGTCACAACAGCGCTGTGTTTGAATCCACAAGCGACTTGTACAACTTCCTCGTTTTGTAAAGCCTCAATTTGTCGAGGTCTGCGTTGTCTGTCGCTATTTCCATGGCCCAGTTTGCCGTAATCGCCGTCGCCCCACGAAAAAACTTCGCCGCTTTCCGCCAACGCTAAACTATGACCATCTGAACCTACAGATGTAGCCAGATCTGTTATGACGAAGCCTTGCAAGCTGGATATGACGCTTAGCGAGTGCAGATCGTCAGAGTTGCCTTGGCCCAAGCGTCCGTAGCTGCCTTCGCCACACGCCATGACCGTGCCGTTCGTTAGGATGACGAAAGTGCAATTTTGACCGCACACTATTTTTCTGGCTACGGAAAACGAGGCTACTGCAAAAGGGGCCGAGGCGCTGAAGCCTAATTCTGCTAGTTGGCCGTGTCTGTCTGAACCCCACAGATAGGCCTATGGAAAATATCAACAATTATAATAAATGCAATTACCAATGACCAATGACATTTTAGCACAGATAAACTAGAGCTAGTCAAGGAGGGTCAGGGTCAGAGGTGTGAACAAGACCCGCCTTCTCTTCTGACATGTGCTGCGTCAAGTGAGTGACGAGTTCAGAGGAAAAGGCAGGTCTTGTTCACACCTCTGATGCATCCCCACCATGACCTTCCTCAAGCAGCTCTCCTTTCCCGGCCCCTAGGCTAGAACTCTGTAGTGAATAGGGATATTTTCTTTATCTCTATTGATTTCGAAACAAGAGAACACACTGTAAAACATTTTCCCATGTAAATCTTCATAAGAAAATCCAAGACGTAAACCACCTTGAAAAATACGTACACCAGAATCCCACAAAATCCTCTTGAAATTTTATGGAATCCTACTGAAATCACACTCTTATTCCAATGTGGTTTACCCCTCGAGAAAATCTAGGGTCTAATCTGCACTTTTTTTGCTCCATTCAATTAATTCATTCATCTGTATACTGTATACAGCTATATAGGTCTAGGGGCAGGTCTGATACAGCTTTTAGACATATGCATACAGAGATGCTATCAGCACTAAAAAAATTGTACCAGAAAATAGGGAATAATTGTACTAGATTGGCGACATTGTGTACTAGCTGAAAGCGCGTCAAATTTCGAAATTTGAATTCAAATGTAGGCTCCGCTAGATGGGGGTCGGTTTCTCAATAGCGAGTCACCTGCATGTTGGTTTTGACTCCAGGGTAAACGTGTCCAGTTGCAATGTTTACCTAGAGTTATCTTTAACCTGGGGGTGACTCGCTATTGGAAAGCCGACCCTGAATGATAGAAATAAATAAATTTTTATACATTTAGTTATAAATCGACTACCGATTACCATGATCCGCTGAATAACCGAATAACCACCGATACATGACACACGTCAAGTCACAGATTAAAAAACGCCCCCAGCATCAAATTCTGGGATACTCGAGGATCAAGAACACTATTTGTTCTGTGAGAACAGACCGAAATTCACCTTTCCTACATTTAAAATCGACAAAAAAATTAACTCATTAGCATAACCTGAATCGCAAACATTCAATCGAGGTCTGCGGGTGACGTCATCGCTATTTTCTGTTGATAGTGACGTCACTCGCAAGTCCAGAATTTGATGGAGAAGGAGTGTCAATTAAGTCATACTTCCCTATGACACAATTGACACCTCACATAACTCAGCATAATCAGATTATGTTTAAATATCCTCGCCAAAAATTGCCTCATATTCGAACGCCAATTTCTTGTTTGGCTTTAGCTGCACCGTAGTGGGATCTGGAGTGGGATCACGACCAGAAAAAGTCTACTAGAATTCATCATTATCATCGCCTGTACTGTACGCGATAAATGGGTCACGGGTGACGTTATGAAAGTGGAATTCTACTTGTCGTGATCCCAGCCCTGGAACATGAAACCCAACCCAGAAGTAGAGAGTGGAGCGCAGAACTCGGGTACGGTACAGAGCGAAGAGCAAAACTCGACTTGTAATCCAAATTGTACTAGATTAATGAGAGAGGTACTAGCGTACTAGGTGAAACGTGATTGTGCTAGATCTAGTACAATTGTATTAGAAATAGCATCCCTGGCATACAGTGACCTGTCTGTATAGGTACAGTTGCGATCAAAATACAAAATTTTGACAGGCAATGTCATATTGTTGGTTAAAAAGGGTGGAAAAATGTCAAAATAATGTCATCTGAAGCTTTCTAGGTTAAAAACTTGTCAAAAATACCAAAAATATGTAATTTTTGGTTATGAATGAAATTAATGTATAATAAACCGGGCTGGTATTCTCGAAAACGCTCACCGCTTTTTTAGTCGCGCGGCATTTTTCATGTAAATTTACATTAGAAGTGCCGAACGACTAAAAAGCGGTGAGCGTTTTCGAGGACAAGAATACCACCCCAGGAGATTTTGGAGATTTTTCTTGTACTACTTTTTTTTGATCGCAACTGTACATCTTTCTGTATACAGGTCTAGAGACAATTTTGGACAGGTCCGATACAGTTTTAGACAGGTCTGTATGAGCGGGGCTTAGCGGCTCTGGGCCGGTATTCTGGTTCTCAAAAACGCTCACCGCTTTCTAGTCGCTCGGCACTTTAAATGCAAATTTACATTGAAAGTGCCGAGCGACTGAAAAGCGGTGAGCGTTTTCGAGAACGAGAATACCGGCCCTGGCCTACTGGACAGTGATGATTTTGAATGGGAAAAAAAAAGTGCAGATAGAACCTTAGATTTTCTTATGGAGATTTACATGGGAAAATGGGTATGCCATTTCACAAACTAATCAATGTTTCAAAATAAATAGTTAGAAGGCATCAAACAAAAACGCTTTGACTGGTGGAACCGATCTTAAGATGTCATTTATAGTAATTACCTTGCATTTTCCTCCAATCTCCCAATCCTGAGGCCTCTGCGCCGCCCATTGCATAATTTGTTCGTCCTGCTTGATAGTCCAAAATACGTTTTGTATGGCGGCCGGAGGCACATTGTCCTCTAAAACTTGACTAAGATTGACTGCGTTTTCTGGCAAGTCGATTCTTTTTATTAGGCCTTCAGCCATTTGCGAAGCTAAGCTAAAAGTGTGCAACCAATGGTATTCTTGATTAATTTCTAATGGGGCTTTATCATTGAATGGGGCCAGTTTATAGCAAATTACTTTATCTAAATCAAGTATTATAGCCAACGAGGCTAAGCTTTTCAGATAAACACTGTGCATCAATTGAGCACCGGTGGAAACTTGAAGTTTTTCAGCTGTGAATTGATCTTGGAGCATTTTGGGCAAAAGGGTGACAAAGCTTTTGAAAAACGACGTATTTTTAATACCTATAGAACAATATTTATATAGTAATAGTGCAATAAACAAAATCAACTCTTTACCTCTAATTCCTTTTTTCAACAAAGCGCACCTCATTGCGGCCAAAGGAAGATTATTTTTTAAATCTTCCAAGTCGTATTTTAATATACTAAATGTTTTCGAACGAGAAAACGCTATTGCCAAACTATTCAGGGGCTTAATCCATTTTAAACCGTTTGTATTTACTCCACCGGTACCGGTTGTAGTGTAAACCAAACTACCATCAGATAGAGACCAAATATTTACAACACCACTAGGACCTTTTAAAATTTAATTAATAACATTGAAATCAAGAATATCCCAAATTACCTTTCAAACAACCACTAGCCAACAATAATCCACTAGAATCAATAGCCAAACTTGTAACAGCATTGTAAGAATGCCCTTGTGAAGAAAACATCAAACCAGGCACCTCATTAAGCGTATTTTTTTCATCAGGAATCTACAATATATTATTAAAAAACCTTATTTAATTTCAAATAATAAATCACCTTCCACAAATTAACAGTTCCATAACTAGTACCGACAGCCAATAGTAGCGGTGAATTTCCCCAACCTACAAGCGGAGACCACGTAATACTGGTTGGCTCATAAGTCAAAATTATCGTATGCAAAAGCACTAATTTCTCTTCAGTGACTTTCCACAGCTTACAAGTCATGTCTACTGATATTGTGGCCAGCAAAACGCCTCTGGGATCCCATTCGACTGCGGAAATGGTATTTTTGTGCGCTTGCACTGTAACTATACTAGATTGACAATCGAGTTTGCCTAATTTCAACGTCCCTTCCAAATAACCAACGGCAAAGTGTGCATTTTCGTGAAACCAATCCACATGAACCACTGCATGAGGCAACGAAAAATTCATCAAAGTTTCAACTCTTTTGGAATCTTTTAAAACACACAAAATTGTTACGGTTCCATCAATTTTGCCTACTAATAAATGCTCCTTGTTTTCAGATTCTAGATGTTTGTTTTTAGGCCAACACAATACGGTTATAAATTCTTTTTGGTGCTCTATAAACCAAACGTCGTTGGTTTTTCTGATTGGCCAAATATTAATAACACCATCTAGAGCTGCAGCTAAATAATCACCCATTGGTGACCAACATAAATGACCTATAAGTTTTCCTTGCAATTCATTTCCAAATGTATCTAAGCTGGTATAGAATACTAAAGTTGAATAGAGAATGGGGGGTGTTTGGGGTTCAATTTGCCATAGTCTTACGGTTCCATCGTAGCCGGCAGAAGCTAAAGTGTTTGTTGCTTCATGCCAAGCTAACGTACTTACTCTATTGTCATGACCTAGATTTATAAAACTTTAAGTATAGAATCTGAATAATTTTGCATTATTATTACCTTCAACTAAACTAATTTCTTGCTTGGGCATTGTATTGGAAAGATCAGCAAAATTAACTTGTTCCAAACTAGATCCTGACATCATTTGGATTTTAGTAGCAATACATTTGAACAATTGTTGAGCAGCCCACTCCTTTTGCTTTTTAACTTTGTTTGATAAAATATAAGCAGACAAAGCGTTGGCCAAAGTTAAAGGCCCAACCCTTTCCGCTTGCGGACTCAAACAACTTTCTTCTTTAGGCAAATCCATTAGCGAACAACCTCCGTGTGTAGAAAGAATATTAACTAAAGCCTGAGTCACAGCAAAACCTATTTGAAAATCATTTAATTAATAATTTATTTCCGTGGAATAATTCTCACCTGCTTCTGGTACAGAAACACCAAAAGCTGCCAATAATAAATCCTTAGTACAAATATCAATGACTAAATTTGAAGCATCGAGATCGTTTTGAGCCAAAGCGGCTATGCAAACGCTCAAATGTTGCAGGCAAGAGTTTGCGGCATTAGGCAAATTAGTTGTCAACTGATTGAAATCCTTTGGCAATCTGAAGCTTAAAATATCTGGCGTATTTTCTATGTTGCCTATTTCGACGCGGTTCATTGCGGTTAGAGTCATTAGACGCACCACTTTACCAATGCTACCTAAACCGATAAGTTCCAAACAGGAAATTAGGTTGACGTAGTTGGTACTCATTGACAAAATTGATAGGACATTGAGAATTATTTGTCTGGAGAGAAGTATTTGAATTGATTTTGTTAAGTCTCTCAGGCCGATAATTCTTTGTAAGGGGGAGCCAAGTAGCATTGCTTGCATATTGATGCTTTTGGGTATAATTTCGTTAGGGTCTTCAAAATCTTTATGTACTTTTGGAACTGAGTTAATACCCAACGGATCTGCACTGGCAAAGTCTATTGTGTTCATTTGGATTGAATCACCTGACATGCCTAAAAATCTATAAAAAAAAAATTATTATAAAGTCATTATTAACTTAAATTATTACCCTTTAATGTCTGCTTCGTCACATTCCGGTACAGAAAATTTCAAACTTTGCATATTAATTTCAGTATTGTCGTCATTGGTGAGAATGATATCAGGATACAGGGCGGCCAAGGCATTCTCAGTTTTATTTATACGTCTGTACTTATTCCTGCATTTGAAACACATAATGTAGTACCTAAAAGAAAAATACTAAGTAACTAAAAAGTATTCGGAAATCTTGTACTTGTTTATGACATCTCCGCAAACTCCAGGACCCCATAGGATGCCACAGCCTGGATGACTAAAAAGCATGTGAATGTCTAATTTTGAGTTTAGTTGATTGCAATAGGGGCAAACTCCTATTGAATTCATACAGTCTGCGTAGTTTGAGGTGGCATCTGAGTTTGGGACAACTAAAAAAAGATGCAACTTAAAACTAATAAAGTGATATTGTCAAAGAAAAATCACCTGTGCTATCAAGAGATTGAGTTTCTTCACCAAACCTGACAATGGGGTTTCTCAATAAGGGGTGGGCTTCACCTCTAACGTGTTCCCTTTCCCTTATTTGCTGGCGTTCTCGGAAGCTATCATGCAAGGCCCTAAGACAATAAACAATTTACATAACTTATTCTTTAATAAATTAATTTTCATGTTATAGGGTCTTTTTTTACAAAGAAAAAAATTGTACTATGCAAGGGCCGCAACTAGAACTCTCAACGAATTTTGGCACCTATACTACTAATTCTACCACTGTATAAATAAAAATACAGGATGATCAATATTTTAATTTTTCTAGTTTTTAACATAGAAAATCTCTCATGAGAGCTGGTAATAGAAAACAATTTTAACCATTGTAATATGACTCAACAAAAATAAATCACTGTATAAAGATATAGGAGTGATCAATATTTTATTATTCCCGGCTCTTGTAGGAAATCTTTCATGAAAGCTAATAATCGAAAACAATTCCACCACTGTGTAAAGATACAGGGTGAACAATATTTTGTTATCCTTGGCTCTTAATGTAGAAAATCTTTTACGAGAGCCAATAATAGAAAACAATTTTACCCACTGTAATGTGACTCAACAAAAATAAACCACTGTATAAAGATACCGAGTGATCAATATTTTATTATTCCCGGCTTTTGTAGGAAATCTTGCACGAAAGCTGATAATCGAAAACAATTCCACCACTGTGTGAAGATACAGGGTGAACAATATTTGATTATCTTTGGCTCTTAATGTAGAAAATCTTTTACGAGAACCGGTAATAGAAAACAATTTTACCCACTGTAATTTGACTCAACAAAAATAAACCACTGTATAAAGATACCGAGTGATCAATATTTTATTATTCCCGGCTTTTGTAGGAAATCTTGCACGAAAGCTGATAATCGAAAACAATTCCACCACTGTGTGAAGATACAGGGTGAACAATTTTTAATTATCCCTGGTTGTTGATGTAGAAAATCTTTGAGGAGAGCCGGTAATAGAAAATAATTTTACCCACTGTAATTTGACTCAACAAAAATAAACCACTGTATGAAGATACAGAGTGTCAATATTTTATTATCTCCGGCTTTTAATGTAGAATTTTTTTTCCACGAAAGCCGGTAATAGAAAACAACTTTACCACTGATGCATTAAGATACAGGGTGAACAATATTTTATTATCCTCAGCTCCTAATGTAGAAAATCTTTCACGAGAGCCGGTGATAGAAACAGTTTTACCCACTCAACAAAAATACCTAACTGTATAAAGATACAGAGTTGCCACCCTCTAGTTGCGACCCTGATAGAATGCAAAGGTCACCCCTGTTCCTGATTGGATTGCATTAAAAAAAATATATATTTATTTCTCAACAAAAACAACCAGAGAGACTGAGGTTCTTGACCCATTACCTATCAGCTCTTTCAATCAAAAAACTCCTAATTTCCGCACAAGTGCGTCTCCTACTAGGCATGCCGCGCCGTAGACTCCCAACTGGTTGATTCCTTAAAAAAAACCCAATCAACATGTTGCAACATTTAAAAACCTCATACACATACAAAATAACATTTTGTCTATCCACCAAATCGCTAGTACTATTCCATAATTCTCTGAAGCTACTCAAATTACTTGTAGCCTGTTCAACAACGCTCTCTTCCATGTAGGGATGTTCGCACATCCACGTAGCCAACATACTGATGCTTCTAGCGCTAATTTCTCCAGAACTTTTAGTTTCGAATAAGGCCTTCAAAATGTGCCTCAAACTGAAGCCCATTTCTAATAAAGGTACTGCCATAGGGGGCGGAGGCGGCGAGCTGCTACGACTTGAGAAAACGGTATCTTCTGAACTGCTAGTGAATATGCTGGGCGTGGTTGGGCTGGAGCCTAAGGATACAGTTCTGTTGAAAAAATAAGGGCTGGAGCCTTGTACTGTTAAGGAAGATGGCGGTGTTGGTAAGACGCGACGTCTCACTAGTCTAGGGCTTCTAGTTAAAGGCATTTCTCTTGAAGTACTCGGTTCATTGAAATTACTTGGAACAACAAATTCTGGTTGTGGTTCGTTATTTTCTTTTGGAATATCTGGATCTTCTTTGCCTTTATTTTTAATGTGGTTCATGTGGAGAATTGCCATTGCGCGCTCAGTTTCAGCTACAGTGATGATATTTTTTAGTTTGCATTGGTCAATGCTTTTGTCGACAATGCTATACATGATTTCTCTCAGGCAATCGGTTTCTTCACAGGATTTTTTGTCGTTTAGTAAAAACAGTTCGGTAAACTGAGATGTTGTTACGAATGTTCCTAGAGTTTTTAGGGCGGAAAATTGTAAAAAGGCCAATTTGAGATATTTTTCTTCGATAGCTGCAAATTTATGTTGCAACGCTAGATATTCGGCGCTATCGTCTTGCTGCTTTTTAATCACGTCGTCATTTTGCTCGCCCCTAACAATCGCCGAGTCGCTTTGAAACTTAATTTTGGTAACTTCTTCTAATATATTTGATACTAGTTCGTTAGTCAAAGTTTCCACTGTCCGAGGCTTTTGTACGAGCCTAGAATCCGACGATACAGAGTGAGGCTTTGTTGTTTCCTCGTTTGTGCTTGTAGAGGATTTTGGTAGATTGAAATTCAAAAGACGTTCTTCTTCTTCGGTTATGTTGTAGACCGGAAATGAGACTTCGTTTGTTATACCAGAGAGTCTGGCTAGTTGAAGAAGGATGTTTGATGTGAGACCTATAAAAAAAATATGCAATAGAATGATTATTGGGGATTGTGATTATACACAAATAACCAAAGGGTAAACCTCTAGTGGAAATCATTGTACATTTTTTTGGGAATTATATATTAAGCAATCAGGAATACATGAAAATCATTTGGGAGTGCCTGGGAATAACCTAGGAATCTCCTAGGACATAGGAATACATTGGTAATCGCTGAGAATCTTGTGGTGATGGCTAGGAATATCACCTCAGAAATCGCATAAACGATACAGCGTACTGGTCAGTTGTGTATTTGTTTTGGAGACTAAATTTCAGGCAACGAGTGTTAGACAATTTGAAATAAAATTTAATATCCTAACGAGTTTCTCAATAACTGAGCCAATAACTGAACCCGAGACTATGAAGAGTTTAGAACTTGAAGAAGAAGAAAAACGAAATGAGGATTAGATCTGTTCTCACTGAAATCACAAACCAGTCAGAGCGTTTTTGATTGGTGCAAATCACTAACAACTAGTTTTCTGACTATTTTCAACCAATGACTGGTTTATGATTTCTATGAGAACAGACCTAAAGTATGACAATGTTGTAGAGCATAAAAATGAAAATATAAACTTTGGAACATCTCTTGAATCCGACTTGCCAAAAGAAGACACAGAATTTCTTCACACATCAGGGTTTTTGAATGATTGTAGGAAATCATTGAGGAAATCAGGTATTTAATTGGGAATGACATAGGAATCCAAAAAAAAAAATGAAAATCACCTAGTAATCATACAAAAATATCTGAAAATCATTGGCAATCACAACTCTTGAGATGGGAATACATTAAATTCATTGATCAGTGATAGACCTATCTATTTTACCACACAAAGAGGTAATAATACGAAAACTTCATTAAATAAAAAAAGACAGAACGCTCATTGCGCAAGACAAGACAAAACGTACCAAATTATGTTAGACTTACGTATAGCAATCCGTCCTTCTATTTGGACGGGATAAAAGGAGAAGGAGAAAGATAGCGTGTTGTGCAACGTATTTGTCAATGAAAATTTCAAACAACTTTTGAATGTCACTTGTCAAGTTGAATATCAACCGTACTTTTATTCTTGTCAGACCACGAGCAATGAACAAGGACAATGGGATGCCCAGTATGCAAAACGAACACCTCACACCTGTACTAGCTAGCCAATGAAAATGCATTGCCTCGTGTTGCGCGCGCATACCAGGTAAAAATAGATAGGTCTATTGCCAAATATGAAAATCATCATACATTTGTAAGCATAGTGGTTGACCCCTTGCAAATAACATACCAACAAACTTATTAGTATTAAACGGTTCAGGCTCGACAAATTCCAAAACCCATTTGGACGCATCGGAAACACTTAAATCGTGCTCCCATTGCATGCTAATTGTCGTAATGCCTTTTTTCAAGACACCCAAAATAACGGCACGTTTTCCAGTTACTTTATGCCTACAATAACTGCCCATTTTCAACCCTCTGTCCAAGCCGCCGATGACAGCTAAAGCTGGCCAAACCTCCGAGCACATTTCATCTAAATCAATTTCCACCTCTTCAAGCTTGTCTGAAGATACCACTATACTAGGAAATAAAGCTTCGATTTTATTTAGTCGCAGTTTTAAGGCCGAATTTACATCAGTAGTCCACGTATCAAATTTGTGCAATTTACGAATCAAACCTAAAAAAATTAAAATTCAAGCAAACATTCAAACAATAAACTAATTTACCAATATAAAATTCACTCAATACTGCATGTAAGGGGGCTAAATTGGGTTCGCCTGGCAAAACATCTCTTTGAGTCCCGTGCACTTTCATGTCAGTAATTTTAACTTTCTCTCCAGGATTGGTACTATAAAACATTACACAAGGATACAGTTCAGGTGCGTCGACATCTTCAAAAGCCACTCTAGGTTCTTCGCCGTTTTTTCCAAAACTCAAAGTCTTAGCATCCATGTCTAATACTACAGTAATGTAGTCTCCTTGGGTGTAGCTTTGAAAGCAATTGTCCCTTTCTCCGGTGTGATACAGGCTGCCACTGTAGGCTCTGTATAGCCACATGTCGCTGGTGGATCTATGACTGAAATCGCGCACAGGGAATTTGGAAACTCCTATGCAAGTGCCTTCGTTGCCTCTGTTTTCTTTGACTATAAGTATTTTCCATTGGTAACAGCCTGATTTGATTGGTTGTAATCCTAAGCCGTAGCCTCTACCACTAGAGCCGTGGACTAAAGTTAAACTGCCTTCGATTGAGCATTTGTAACATTTGTCTGGATCAAAACCCATGTCGTGCACAGGAACATTTCCTTCGCTTTCTTTGAAGTCTTTTGCTGTCAATAAATCGTCGTTTAAAGCTACAGGTTCAGTTTCTTGTAGGGTCTTTTGCCACATTTCTTTGCCTAATTGTGTAAAGAGTTTTGCTACAATAACTTTCCTTAAAGCATCATCAATATGGACTTGTTTTAAGCGAGGCAAAATTATTTGCAATACTTGCAATATTAATAATTTAGGTTTGAGTACTTTTATTTGGGAGTTGTAGCTTAGAGGTAGACTTGAAGTGTCTAAGATGTTCAAGAGAGTATTTATCCATTTTTTAGTGGTGGCTAAAAACTATTTTTATTTTATTATTTATTTTTTATTTTTTTTTTTATTTTTTATTTATTTTTATTTTTTTATTTACTTTTTTTTTTTTTTTTTTTTATTTTTTATTTTTCACTCATCAAATATTTCAATGGTTTTGAGGAATTGCTTGTACAAAACGTTTACCATTATTTCTAGTTGAGATATGTCTAGATGTTTGGAGTTTATGCAACATGACATAGCTAAAATGTGAATTAGCCTTAATGATGCTATACTAAGGACTTCGGATTTTGTATAAGGCTGAACTCCAATATTACCTATAATATAAAATTACTTATTATCATAAATTTTATTTGCATAAACTCTTACCAATATTGACTAGTTGCATCAAATGTTGCACTAAATCATTATTTAAAATCAAACTCAAATCATTTGGCTGATATCTGGTACTCAACGAAAATATCATTACCAACAACAACTGTTTATTATCGGAATTAATATACTTCTTAAGAGATGCAGTTAGAAATTCGTAAATTCCTTGAACAATCGTACGAATTTTGTCTTGAATTTCCAAAGGCGAACTTTGGATGCCTTCTAAATAATGATGGAAAGGCGTACAAGATTCTTGTCGGTCCAAATTGCACAAACCAAAACAGCCTTCTAGGAGTTGCGGCTGGACGCAATTGATTACTGTGTCTGTGGATTCTTTGGTGATTAGGTGGAATAGGAGTTGGTCTAGGCCTTCTAAACGACTCAGAGAGCGTTTTTTGTGGTTCAACAAGGCTGTGTGAATAACTGATGGATCGTTGAACCAACCATTTCCACTGTAAATGAATAGTTTTTTAGATTATGTTTGGGCTTTTTAGGCAAAGTACATACCCTATAGTGTAGCCATCTTTTTCTTGGTTTTCACTGAGGGCGAAATTTAGACAAAGCGAGCATAACTTTTTTAGTTTGTCAAGACTTGGGTCTCGGTTAGATCTGTAAAATTCTACGTAAGGCTTTTCAGAAATATCCTCGTCTGAATCTGTTTGCATTGTAGGCAAATCAGATTTTGAGCCTATAATAAGAATGGGGCTAGAATAAGCTATTATTTGATTCAATCAGGCTTATGATGTATCATTTTCTGTTATTTTAACAGCAACGTTAAGTTGTCTGTCACTTTTTACTCTATACGTCAAAATAGAGAGAAGTATATATGTTGAGCTATAACATAGCTGTTAAAATAACAGGAGAGGATACATCCTAGGCCTGATTTTCACTTTTACCTTTAACGTAAATCAACAAAAACAAACATTGCTGCAAAACTTTATGGCAAAATATCTCGAACTCCATTTCTTTTAGCTTCAATTTTTCTTTAGAATCTTGGTAGTCTTTTTCGTTTTCTTCTTCCGTACATTTTAGACTGCACATTATACTGAAGAGTTTTTGACGTAGATTTGTTGAATACTAAAAGAAGTTTCAGATAATAATTGGTCAGATATAGAACCTTAAGTAAATGAGCACCCAGGACTGGGACGGATAGATGTCGTTATCCCCATCGCTATGATACTTGCTCTCTTTTCAAAATCAATAGAGAGGAAATTCACTAGAGAAAATATCACTATTCGTTACAGAATCCCAGCCCGAGTATGGGTGAATTATCAATTTTTCAATTTTTCTGAGTTTCTCTTTTCATAGAATCCGGCTTCAAATATCGGAATAATTTAATGTATAGAGTTTCGGGGGTCTCGAATGATCATTTAGACACAAAATCTCAACACAAAAAAATTTGAAATTTCATCATTTTAGTCCCAAGGTACCTACCTAAAGGTACGGTTTGTTAGGATAGTACGCGACGCACAACTGACAACGTAAACGTCGTCATTGGTTCAGGTATGACGTACACCCGTCTTCTGACGTGAGAAAACGGGTGTACGTCATACCTGACGTGTACTCTCCTAACAAACCGTACCTTAAGGTTTTCAAAAACTTTGAAGACCTATAACTTTGTTTCTATTATAGATAGAAAACTGAAATTTTTAGCGATTCTTATCCCAGTAAAGGACTACAATCCCTAAAAATTTCAGCTTAATTCTTACCTTAAAAACTTCCCTACAAACCACCATATTCCAACTCTCTTGCTCAATCATCCCTGTTATTTTCAAAACCCCATAAAAATAACTACGACTAATCGCATCAACTATCCTAACTAATTCCTCAGTTTCAAATTCAAAAGCTTCAGATTCATAGTTCAGAGCAATTTTGTTATACAAATCATCAGACTGATTATCATCCAATACGGCACAAGCCTCGTCGTACTGACAAGGAAGTCCCAAAGCCATTTTGCACAGACTTTGAACTTCTTGCGGCATATTTTTGTAGGCGTCCAACATTGTTACAGACCTTAAAAGTAACCTCAAGCAATAAAAAAAAAACACAAATAATAAAAATAAATTACTCTGGAAAATAGGCAAGTTCAGACAAACTTTCTACAGGCATTGTTTCATTATCAATACCAGACGAAAACACTTCACTAACCAACCAATGACGACAATAGAGTTCTTCTTTGCTTGGACTTTCTCCTACCATCATGCCACCTAAACAACGACCAATAAGAAGTGAGCAAGTTTTTTGCAAATCCACAATCCATATCCAGGATTGTTCAGCAAGCTGAGTCAGAGTAGGGGTTTCAGAACCTACAAATTATCATTGTTAAATATTACAGGACAACAAAAAGCAAAAATATACTTAACGTGAATTGTCTTTTTCATAAAGTAATTCTTTTGGTAAAAGCTGATTAAACTTATCCAAAGCATCCAAGACTTCCAATAGAGGATTATAAAGGATTTTTATGTGACTTACTGGCATAAGCAATAAGGAGTTGATTATTTTAAACAGCATAGCACCTGCGGTTGAATCTTGAAGTACATTATAAAGTAGTTCAAGGGAATTTGGATAATCATTCTAAGAAAAAATAGTCAATAATGTTTCAACCAATTTGCATTGTATAAAATACTTACCACAGTCAATGCAGCTTTATTTAAAACTTGTATAGCAAACCCAAACAAACTCAAAAGATGGTTGACCAAAAAATCATTTTCCGACAAACACTTTTGCTCCCCTCCACGAGGCCTGACAGTATAGTGAGCCAACATATGATTTTGTAAAGAAGATAACAATCTAAAAAAAAAAAACAATTGTTTAAAAAATATAATTTGTTTAAATTCTTGCCTTTGCAAACGGGAAACTTTCATATTGGCTGGACTCTGCCACCAAAACTTCGTTTCTATTGCCATATATTTTGAAACCGATTCCAAAGTATCTTCTGTATCTTTTGTAAAAGCTTGCAACAGTGTATGCATTAGCGTTGATATCATATCTTTGTCCAATTCTCTAGATTTTTCCATATTCACTGTGTAACCGAGCAAGGCTGCAATATGTATGGGATCCTCTAAACTGCTCAGAATAATACTCAGAAGCATTTGTTGCCCTGCACTTAAAACGTTACCGCTAGACAAATGCGAATACAAAAATTCAACTCTTTCGTTTAAAAGGGGTAACAATAAAGGGGCGCCGATTATTAGGACATCTTTGGCCAAATTGTGGATACCTTCTGGGGCTTCTATATCGACAAGCCTAAATAAAACTGTTCTGAGTTCTTTGGAATGTTTGTTTAAAACTGTGGTATTTAAACTGCCATCGATACATAAATGAAAATGAGTGCATAGGAGTTTTAGTGTTAATAAAACGAAATTGTGATGTTCTTTTTGGGTTTCGAATGGTTTTGGGGGGGCTGTTTCTTCATACAAAAATGAATTTGTATATTTTTCTAGAAAAATCTACAAAACAAAATTAATTATTTGTTGGATAATTGATGTATATTAATAATTACTTTGAAATATTTAAAAGTCTTCTCGTGCAAATCGAGACAAAAGGGTTTGTGTCTGGTAATCTGATGGGTTTCCAATGGTACAGTGGTCCAAGCTATAGAGTGCGACGTTCCCGCGCTTATTTGACGTACCCGCACTCCTTCTAGGCCCACCACTTTCAAGGGCCTCGTTATGGGGCTTGATGTGTGGCCTTGCCCGCATTGGCCCATTGTGTTTGTTCCCCAAGCGAAAACCTACAATGATAAAAATTATGTTTTTGGATTTCTGCCTTATAACAGGAGCTGAACTTTTGATAGGAGACAATAATAAAGTAAAAAATGATTCTGAGATACTCCAATATTTATTTCTAATAATTAAATTCCAATATTTGCTGAGTATTTCAAATATTTGATTTAAAAAGCTAGCTGGATACAATTTGGCAACTAGAATAATATTATGTTTTCTGCTTTTTGGCTGCTGTCTACTTTATTTAGAAAGAGATTCAAATAATGTCTTCTATAGGGTATCTAAAATACTGTGTTCCACTATTGCTATTTTGGCATTGGCAACTGTGAGAAATACGAGGTCAGTAAAATTAGAAAAAAGTAGCCATTAAAACCAATAAGTGAATTTATAGGGAATCATTTGGTTACCTGGTTTTCATCAGTCAAAGCCAAACAATGATTATCACCCACAGATATATCAATAATCCTATAGGGCGTCAGTTCTTCAATTAATAAAGGCTGCAGGCAAATAGCATCGGCCACGCCCATGCCTAAAATAGGCCCACTTCCCCACGAGTAAACTTGCCCTGTGTTGGTAAGGGCTAAAGAAAATGTGGTGGCACCGCAAACTTTTTGAATTATCAGGCCTTGAAGCGTTTCAATAATTTTTGGCCTGCAAACCTAAAGAAAAATGTAAGTATAGGTGATTTGTATTTGCTTAAAAATTACTTTGGCAATTTCTCCATGTCCTAGTTTGCCATTTTCGCCACTGCCAAATGACCAAACAGTTTTTCCATCTCGAGACACTGCAAGAGTGTGAGTACTGCCACAAGCGACTTGGCCAACATCACTTATATCAGACACCATTGTAGGTATATGTCGGGCATTATAGTCACCATGCCCCAGTCTACCGTGATCGCCCTCGCCTAAAAACATTTAATTAAAACACATCATTACCAATTCAATTTTTACCCCAAGTCCACAAACGCCCATCGTCTGTAATGGCAGCACTGTGCCTATATCCAGCATTAATAAACCTAATAGTCTTGTTCAAAAATGGCCCTACGATGCGTTCGGGTTGTTTATGGGTGGCGCAATTGCCATGGCCTAATTTGCCGTAGTCGCCGTCACCCCAACTATAAACTTGGCCGTTTTCGGTCAACGCCAAGGTATGACCATCAGAGCCTTTGGAGCTGGACAGTTTTCTTACTATGCTGTCCAATAGGATTCTTTTGGGTAGGGTTTGATTCGAGGATTCTCCTAGGCCTAACCGGCCGTAGCTACCTTTGCCACAAGCGCTTACGTAACCGTCCCAATGGATTGCGAAGGTACAATATTGTCCTGCCTCAATCTACGATTTGGAACATAATCTTACATATTACATTCACCAAGAAGTAAGAGAGTATGCTTACTATTAAGCGAACTACATATGAAGTACTGAAAATAAACTAATACTAGGCTCAAAATTAAGAAACAAGTGGCAGTTTTGATGTGAAAACTATGCACATTGATCAAGTACTTGGAAGATTATTGTCTCAAAGACATACTCCTCTTAGGACCGGCTCATCAGTGGACGTTTAGCTGTTGGTTAACTAATAACAACTAAACTAGATAACCATCCACTGAAAAACCAGTCCTTAGAGTTGGAAGATTAGTTAACAAACCACAAAGAGCTTCTCATAGCAATTTCTCTTAAAAAAAAAAAAAAATCTTCCATTTGATTTCCAATATTTGTGGCTTTCTTTAATAAATATATTCCACTGTAAAATTACTAACAAATGACTTGCAATAAACCTCAAGCAAGATAATTCTTATCTTATAAAAACCAAGTTCAACAGTGGTCAAGTTCACAGACTATAACCGCACGTTTTATTATTAATAAATATTAAAAATAAATTACTCATACTTGTTGTACTTGACTGAATATTTTCGATTTGACCGGCAGCAAAATTTTCTCGTGCTGGCCTTCGGCCAACTGATGGGACGAGTTGCTGCCCCAAACGTAAACGTCTGACTTTTCGCAAACTCCCAGCTCGGCCTCGCACATCGTAGACTCCACCGCAGAGCAGGCTCCACCATAATCGGTAGCCATCAAGGATAAAACTTCCAATAAATAAATGGCGGTTTGGTACATGGAAATAGGGCTTTGCTCTTTCCAGGAGGTGTTTGTTAGTCTGTGTTTGCCCCCTTCTAGTTGGGTGATGGCTTTGGAGAAAAAGTCGCTTTGTATGGTTGTTTTACAAGAAGCCTCCAAAGCAATGTCAATCCATTCTAATAAATATCTAAGGGAGCCTCTTTGTAAAGCAAGGCCCAATAGAATTTCTGAAGCAAGCAATTTGCCTCTTTCATCTGCGGAGCTTTCATGTAGCACGGCATTTTTCAAAAAATCACAAACCTAAACAATTCAGAATTAAAATGAAATCAGCAATAATTCAATATTTTACTTGTTCCAGGCTGGCAATTCCTAAAGCAGTCAGTTGGACGTCGTTGGAGAGACACAGAGGCGGTAGATTTCTTATGAGGTCTATGGTGGTTTCCAAAACTGTATTGCACAGAGAGGGTATACCAAGAATACCACTCACTTGCCAACTTTGGTGCAGCAAGGAGAAGAGAAGGCTGAGGCCAGTTTTTACTCCGATTTCTAATAGGGCTTGAGATCCTAAACACAATAAATTATGTTTGTAGAATTTCAATAATTGAACCTTTATCATTGGTGAGCATATTAGAATCAAAATCAAACAATGCATTAAAAAAGTTTGAAAAATATAGGTACATTGAATCTTGAATTTCAAATATCAGCAAGTTATATGGTGTCGTGGATATTAGACTGTCTTAAGTTAAATGGACCACCCTGTACTGTACGTAAAACAAAATCGGATTAGTTATACCATTTATAACTCAAGAACGGCTGAACTATTGAAACATGGAAGAAATCCACGAAAAATAAATCAGTAGATGGCATTGTGTGCATTAATCTTTGACAAATGAATTAGTTGGGCGGTCTATTCCTCGAATTTCATTGGTTGAAAACAGTCAAAATACTAGATTCAACCAATAGAATTAATTCACTCTGACTGGTTTGTTATTTCTGCAGAAACAGACCTATTGCATAGCACTGAACTGAGAGAAGCCAAAATGAGAATTTTTTGGGTGAAAATAGAATTTTTAAAGGCACGTGAAGAAATTCTGTTTCGATACAAAAAACAGTTGGCAACACTGTTGCCCAATAGGTCACTTTCATGTGCAAGATTTTAAATTAATAGATAAAAATAGCAAACTTGTACAAAAAATTGGCTAAAAACCAAAAAATGTGAAAATTCTGGTATTAAGTTGGAAAAAACCTCATAATTTTATTTCCAAGCTTCAGATTGACTTCAAATTTGCCTTGTTTGATGAAAACATCCTGGTTAATAAATCCTGAAAGTTTGAAATCGATCTGATACTCCGAAGTATTTTTCAGGATTTTTTAAAGGTGATTTAACCTGAATTTTCCAACTTTTTCGGTATTAGGTTGGAAAAAACCTCATAATTTAATTTCCAAGCTTCAGATTGACTTCAAATTTGTCTTGTTTGATTAAGACATCTTGATTAATAAATCCTAAAAGTTGGAAATCGATTTGATACTGCGAAGTATTTTTCAGGATTTTTGAAAGGTGATTTAACATGAAATTTTCAACTTTTTCTGGTATCAAGTTGGAAAAAGCTCATCATTTTATTTCTGAGCTTCAGATTGACTTCAAATTTGCCTTGTTTGATGAAAACATCCTGGTTAATAAATCCTGAAAGTTTGAAATCGATCTGATACTCCGAAGTATTTTTCAGGATTTTTCAAAGGTGATTTAACCTGAATTTTCTAACTTTTTCGGTATTAGGTTGGAAAAAACCTCATAATTTTATTTCTAAGCTTCAGATTGACTTCAAATTTGCCTTGTTTGATTAAAACATCCTGATTAATAAATCCTGAAAGTTGGAAATCGATCTGATACTCCGAAGTATTTTTCAGGATTTTTGAAAGGTGATTTAACATGAAATTTTCAACCTTTTCTGGTATCAAGTTGGAAAAAACTTCATAATTTTATTTCTGAGCTTCAGATTGACTTCAAATTTGCCTTGTTTGATTAAAACATCCTGATTAATAAATTCTGAAAGTTGGAAATCAATTTGAAACTCCGAAGTGTTTTTCAGGATTTTTGAAAGGTGATTTAACATGAAATTTTCAACTTTTTCTGGTATCAAGTTGGAAAAAACTTCATAATTTTATTTCTGAGCTTCAGATTGACTTCAAATTTGCCTTGTTTGATGAAAACATCCTGGTTAATAAATCCTGAAAGTTTGAAATCGATCTGATACTCCGAAGTATTTTTCAGGATTTTTTAAAGGTGATTTAACCTGAATTTTCCAACTTTTTCGGTATTAGGTTGGAAAAAACCTCATAATTTAATTTCCAAGCTTCAGATTGACTTCAAATTTGTCTTGTTTGATTAAGACATCTTGATTAATAAATCCTAAAAGTTGGAAATCGATTTGATACTGCGAAGTATTTTTCAGGATTTTTGAAAGGTGATTTAACATGAAATTTTCAACTTTTTCTGGTATCAAGTTGGAAAAAGCTCATAATTTTATTTCTGAGCTTCAGATTGACTTCAAATTTGCCTTGTTTGATGAAAACATCCTGGTTAATAAATCCTGAAAGTTTGAAATCGATCTGATACTCCGAAGTATTTTTCAGGATTTTTTAAAGGTGATTTAACCTGAATTTTCCAACTTTTTCGGTATTAGGTTGGAAAAAACCTCATAATTTAATTTCCAAGCTTCAGATTGACTTCAAATTTGTCTTGTTTGATTAAGACATCTTGATTAATAAATCCTAAAAGTTGGAAATCGATTTGATACTGCGAAGTATTTTTCAGGATTTTTGAAAGGTGATTTAACATGAAATTTTCAACTTTTTCTGGTATCAAGTTGGAAAAAGCTCATAATTTTATTTCTGAGCTTCAGATTGACTTCAAATTTGCCTTGTTTGATGAAAACATCCTGGTTAATAAATCCTGAAAGTTTGAAATCGATCTGATACTCCGAAGTATTTTTCAGGATTTTTCAAAGGTGATTTAACCTGAATTTTCTAACTTTTTCGGTATTAGGTTGGAAAAAACCTCATAATTTTATTTCCAAGCTTCAGATTGACTTCAAATTTGTCTTGTTTGATTAAGACATCTTGATTAATAAATCCTAAAAGTTGGAAATCGATTTGATACTGCGAAGTATTTTTCAGGATTTTTGAAAGGTGATTTAACATGAAATTTTCAACTTTTTCTGGTATCAAGTTGGAAAAAGCTCATAATTTTATTTCTGAGCTTCAGATTGACTTCAAATTTGCCTTGTTTGATGAAAACATCCTGGTTAATAAATCCTGAAAGTTTGAAATCGATCTGATACTCCGAAGTATTTTTCAGGATTTTTCAAAGGTGATTTAACCTGAATTTTCTAACTTTTTCGGTATTAGGTTGGAAAAAACCTCATAATTTTATTTCCAAGCTTCAGATTGACTTCAAATTTGTCTTGTTTGATTAAGACATCTTGATTAATAAATCCTAAAAGTTGGAAATCGATTTGATACTGCGAAGTATTTTTCAGGATTTTTGAAAGGTGATTTAACATGAAATTTTCAACTTTTTCTGGTATCAAGTTGGAAAAAGCTCATAATTTTATTTCTGAGCTTCAGATTGACTTCAAATTTGCCTTGTTTGATGAAAACATCCTGGTTAATAAATCCTGAAAGTTGGAAATCGATCTGATACTCCGAAGTATTTTTCAGGATTTTTGAAAGGTGATTTAACATGAAATTTTCAACCTTTTCTAGTATCAAGTTGGAAAAAACTTCATAATTTTATTTCTGAGCTTCAGATTGACTTCAAATTTGCCTTGTTTGATGAAAACATCCTGGTTAATAAATCCTGAAAGTTTGAAATCGATCTGATACTCCGAAGTATTTTTCAGGATTTTTTAAAGGTGATTTAACCTGAATTTTCCAACTTTTTCGGTATTAGGTTGGAAAAAACCTCATAATTTAATTTCCAAGCTTCAGATTGACTTCAAATTTGTCTTGTTTGATTAAGACATCTTGATTAATAAATCCTAAAAGTTGGAAATCGATTTGATACTGCGAAGTATTTTTCAGGATTTTTGAAAGGTGATTTAACATGAAATTTTCAACTTTTTCTGGTATCAAGTTGGAAAAAGCTCATAATTTTATTTCTGAGCTTCAGATTGACTTCAAATTTGCCTTGTTTGATGAAAACATCCTGGTTAATAAATCCTGAAAGTTTGAAATCGATCTGATACTCCGAAGTATTTTTCAGGATTTTTCAAAGGTGATTTAACCTGAATTTTCTAACTTTTTCGGTATTAGGTTGGAAAAAACCTCATAATTTTATTTCCAAGCTTCAGATTGACTTCAAATTTGTCTTGTTTGATTAAGACATCTTGATTAATAAATCCTAAAAGTTGGAAATCGATTTGATACTGCGAAGTATTTTTCAGGATTTTTGAAAGGTGATTTAACATGAAATTTTCAACTTTTTCTGGTATCAAGTTGGAAAAAGCTCATAATTTTATTTCTGAGCTTCAGATTGACTTCAAATTTGCCTTGTTTGATGAAAACATCCTGGTTAATAAATCCTGAAAGTTGGAAATCGATCTGATACTCCGAAGTATTTTTCAGGATTTTTGAAAGGTGATTTAACATGAAATTTTCAACCTTTTCTAGTATCAAGTTGGAAAAAACTTCATAATTTTATTTCTGAGCTTCAGATTGACTTCAAATTTGCCTTGTTTGATTAAAACATCCTGATTAATAAATTCTGAAAGTTGGAAATCAATTTGAAACTCCGAAGTGTTTTTCAGGATTTTTGAAAGGTGATTTAACATGAAATTTTCAACTTTTTCTGGTATCAAGTTGGAAAAAACTTCATAATTTTATTTCTGAGCTTCAGATTGACTTCAAATTTGCCTTGTTTGATGAAAACATCCTGGTTAATAAATCCTGAAAGTTTGAAATCGATCTGATACTCCGAAGTATTTTTCAGGATTTTTTAAAGGTGATTTAACCTGAATTTTCCAACTTTTTCGGTATTAGGTTGGAAAAAACCTCATAATTTAATTTCCAAGCTTCAGATTGACTTCATATTTGTCTTGTTTGATTAAGACATCTTGATTAATAAATCCTAAAAGTTGGAAATCGATTTGATACTGCGAAGTATTTTTCAGGATTTTTGAAAGGTGATTTAACATGAAATTTTCAACTTTTTCTGGTATCAAGTTGGAAAAAGCTCATAATTTTATTTCTGAGCTTCAGATTGACTTCAAATTTGCCTTGTTTGATGAAAACATCCTGGTTAATAAATCCTGAAAGTTTGAAATCGATCTGATACTCCGAAGTATTTTTCAGGATTTTTCAAAGGTGATTTAACCTGAATTTTCTAACTTTTTCGGTATTAGGTTGGAAAAAACCTCATAATTTTATTTCCAAGCTTCAGATTGACTTCAAATTTGTCTTGTTTGATTAAGACATCTTGATTAATAAATCCTAAAAGTTGGAAATCGATTTGATACTGCGAAGTATTTTTCAGGATTTTTGAAAGGTGATTTAACATGAAATTTTCAACTTTTTCTGGTATCAAGTTGGAAAAAGCTCATAATTTTATTTCTGAGCTTCAGATTGA